CCAACATTCCATTCAATGCTACCATCCAATTGAATAGGCACTATATCACCCCTAGAACCGAAAAAGATTGGTGTACTATTATGCTTTTAAAATATAAATCATTTTCAATCGAACGAAAAATAATAATTTATTATTGTATGAAAATGCAAAAATTTAATTCTTACCAAATAGGTGGTGCAAGCAAAACTTCACCAGGACCCGTAAATGTTGATTGAGACATTTCGCCTCCAGTGAACATTTTTTTAAATGAAAATTTAAATTTACCCTTGAGTGTTACTTCTGGACTCATAGCAACCATAGCTCCAGGTTGAGCATAAAATGGAGTATTAGCTGATAATGCTACTGAAAGAAGTGCATTTGTATCACGATGATCTATTTTGTAAGAACCACCATTAAATTCACCAGTTACATCGGCCAAACTACCTAAAGACATTTTTTGAGATGCTACATTTGCTGGATATGCATACAGATATGACATTTTATTTTCTCTATTACTTTTTGATTCAATTTGGAAGTATCAGGGACCCATACGTGCTTTTATATATTTGATAAAGTTATATAATGAATCAGTTGTCTGCAAACGTCACAATTTTATTGCCTCTTCATAAACTGCTCATAGTAAGCAAACAGACGTAAGAGAAAAATACGTCATATTTATACTGACGTCTGAAGGAGATAATGAATAAAAAAATACAATAAATGGGTAACTGAGGGGAAAAAAGGAGGAGCCAATAAGTATTAAGTGACCCTGCGGTAAAGGCTACACGAAAAGGATGTTTCATGTGAGTCACTGTTTACTTGCGTTCGTCCTTTGCGTTTGAGTTGCATATCAACCATGTTTCAGATTTTTTTTTATTCAATGTAGTATTTATACGCAAATATGCATTAGGAGGAGAGTGACATGAAAAATGAAAGCAGTGATTCATCATTTCTCTGTCAATGACGTGAGCAGTATTTCTATACAAAAGCTGTTGCATATATTTTATAACATATGCGTCATTACAAGATAGTGACAATAAACACAAAAATAGAAATGAGTAGAACTATACACTCTGCATTTATACTCTGATACTTTTCAAAAAGGAATTGAACAATTAATTATGAAAAGAACCATGAAAACAAAGGGACATCATAAGTTCATTGTTTTGATTGGTGTTTTTCTAGCCATAGTTGTTTCATTCACATCAATCGATAATTCGGATTAGTCATCAATGATTTCGTGATATTAGTTAGTTAGTTGATGTTTCTGACATTTTTTTATTATCATCTATAAAATTCATGTCTGCTGTAACTGCTATTTCGATAAGAATTTCGGAGTAATGACGGTTGTAATTGAATGAATAATGACGGAAGTCGTCTCTTCAATATTTATTGATTCTATTTCTGTAGATAAATTAATTGTTCATGTGAGAATTGATGTTTTCATAGTATTCGTTGCAGTTTTGTCGTTGACTGTTGCTGTATTCATGCTGATAATTGTTATTTGTCAAGTTATAATAGTTATTGTAAAGATATGTAGTATTCATTCCTGTTATATTTTTTGCAATCATTGTTATGGTTTTGACTGTTGTCTCTTTGATGATAGTTTCAAGTTGTGAAGTTATTTTTTTTTTTGTGATTATTAATACTTTTTCACTAGTTATTGACAAAGTCAATGTGCTCTAGAAGTTCTTATTTCGATTTTTTCGGTTCTCATAATTGTAATTTTTATAAAGTCTATAATTGTTATATCGATGATTACTTTTGTTCCAATGGTAAATGTGTAGTGTTCATCGTCCTGGTTGTTAATCCTACAGAATTCGCATAATGACTTTATCGTTTTGTTTTTTCGTGATTCTACAAGAATTGCTGCTGCTTTCACTGACATTGCTGTTATGCAAAAATTCGTATTTTCTTCTATTGTTGTTTGATTGATGAAAGTCATTATAGTTGTTACATTTTTTAGACTGATATTATTGAATCTTACACGGTTGTTCGTGTTGTCATAGACACTATTTGTGTAGTATTTTTTTTTTTAATTATATGATTATTATCGGTCCAATAATAGAAACTATTGATCCTATCATCGTAATAGTAGTCCATTCAATTCTAATGGTGGCTATGGCAACGCTAATTGATGTTTCTAGCGATGTAATTAGAATTCTTGTAATAGATTTTTCGTTTCTGTAACAGCAGTAGTAATTGGTGTAGGTTGCCGTTGTAAGTTCTTAGATAAATATAGTCAATGGTTTGATTGTGTCATTGAAATGGTAGAAATCATAGTTGTATGTGCTGCATGAGAATTTGATGCTAATGTCGTTTGGAGCTTGCATTATCTAATCAAAGACGTGTTCACATGCAAGTCATGAAATGACTACTAATCGGTGTAAACATAAGGTTAACAGATAGTTAAACGCGCTTTTATCCATAATTGTTAATGGCATGACAATATTATGATAATTCTCCGATGAATTTTGAAGCGATTGTAAGCTCAAAAATAGACAGTTGTAAATACCCAACGTTGTGTATTGTTTCCAATATCTTTTTAAGGTGCAGAGCACTTTATAGCGATCATTCGATCAATTGCCATCTATTTAATGCGGTGTGAAGCACAGTATTTAGGCGGTTCTTCGCGTACGCATTTGACTGCTACACTTTGTTTTCTATCTTAATACTTGAAAATTAAAACTGAAGTTTTTGCTGAAAAGATTCCTATTTCATGAAATAATATTGTTTAGTGGTACATGAATAAGTAATTAGAAATGAAATTTTTTGTGAAAAACACCTTTGTCAGAAGAAGATTCTTAATTAACATTTAGAATCTATTGTCCGTTTCAAAATATAGAGTGTCTCACTGTTTTTTGAATAACTCAATAACATAAAAGCTAGAAACCTATGGTTTTCATCAATCGAAAGAGGAGACAGGGACGGCGTCTTTTTCTCCAACATTGTATAAGACGAAATCATTTTAAAATTAGCCACTTCTGCAAAACATTGCAAAAAAAAATGTATGAAAACGATCTGTCATTCCAATGAAGTTTTGATTTTGAACATGTGAACTAGATTGAGAAAATTCACATCTATAGTTCAAGATATACTTCGTATGATTATTTTTCAGCATTCCAATGTTGAATGAATAAAATCGCCTATTTACTCGCACAGTTCTGACGTATTTTTCTCGATATTCTGTGAAAATGACTGATGTTAAAATGATTTCGTCTTATACAATATTGGAGAAAAATTACATCTCCCTGTTTCCTATTTCGATTGGTGAAAACCACAGATCTATGGTTATTTGAACTCTTTAGTTATTCAAAAGATAGGGAAGCAAACTATATTTAGAAACGGACAATGCGTATATGAAAAGAAGAACAATAGTTTTCCTCTCGTGTTCGAACCTGAAAAGAAATCTGTGTGGAATCAAACAAGATTTATTTAAATATACGGTTATAAACCACACAAGTAATGATCAGACATGAGAATGACTTTAAACCTCGAAGCAGAAGATGTCCGTTTCTTCTTTCACTTCTTATACATATGTCATTAATTAAGTTAAACAGATCTTTATTTCATTACATTCATGTTGATTTGTACAAGAAAACGAAACTATTGTAATAGCAAATAAGAGATCATATTATCAAATCAAGAATAGTTTGTTATACTTTTATTTCTCTTGCTTTTAACTATCAAGGATACTTTATGATCATATATCATAAAATGTCAGCGTCAGCTGTTTTTTTGTTTTTGGTTGAAGAACAGTTTTTAATCGATTTTCTATGTTGAGTACTAGTGTCATATTACTGACTCTTAATTGTAAAACTATCGAAAATGTATTTGATAAGCAATCTATTTTACTGTGTTCCACTTTTCAGATCATTGCCGAATTATCGTGCGGAGACAACAATGTTCCTTGTGACTAATATTTCGTTGATTAATATTTCATAACAAATTTGTAAAATTGAAATCAGTCTAAAAAAATGTTCTTCACTATAATAGGTTCTATACTCGTTATAAGCTCAGTCTTTATAAAGAAACGACATTTTCATCAAAATGATCTTTCTTCAACATATATCTCTTACCAGTCGATTGATGTAATCTGATCAGTTTGCTGACATTTACTCTTGGTCATACGCTTGTTCATGAGAATGACATCAATAGTAGATGGTTCATAATAAATGATGTTGAGTGTAAAACTTGCAATAGTTTATAAATTGTTGTCTTGTTTACGTACATCTGTTCCGCTTCATTGAATCAATATTTCCTCAAATCCATCTGAGCAGGCATTTACATTCTCTTACATATTGGATTCACATTACACGATAACTTAATGGTTTGCATGTGCCTCAAACAAACTCTCAGTATATTATCTTTGGTGAGTATACTCACAGGAAGGAGCATCAGTCGTATTCGAAGAACATTCATTTGTCAATTTGTTCATTTAATACGTTTCAAAAACCAAAGCTCTCTTCGACTAATTAGTCCCTGGAAATCTGATCAAGATCATTTGACAATTTATTCTTTATCTTACATATCCATGAAGCTTTATATCTAACTTTTATGGTTCAATAAAATTTTTTGAATAATTTCCAATCAATTCGTCATGATTGTTCTTCTGGTTTTGATAATCTTTTTCTGTAATACAGCAAGAAATCCTGTGGTCATATCTGTCATTAAGTGAGATTTTGAACTGTTATCAATTGATCATAGTGTCAATCAAATACTTTATAAGGCTCATTTTTTTGTTTTAATTGTGTCGTTAGTAATGTCGCATGTAAAAAGATGTGATTTTAATTTTTATAATTATATATTAGTTAGCTGTAATGATATAGTAGTACAAAGATTTTATGACATTAATTTTTTGAATGAGATCATATTGGTAAGTAGTGATGTTTTAGTGTAACAGAATTTCATTCATTCATATTTGTAAGCAAAAGATAATTGAATCTAGTTTATCCAAAAATTAAAAAACAAATGGTAATAGCACATAATGAAAATTTGAAAGAAAAAAGAAAAAAAATTGACTAAAAGTTTGTCGTATTATTATCAAAAAGTCCTTTGAGCATTTGTTTACGTCTAATTGTTTCAATATAAGAACGATTTTCAATAACTTCTGCATGATCCGATGGTAAAGTTTTTAATAATTGTTCAATTGATCTTTCTGTTGATGCAATAGCTTCTTCGAATTTTCCTAAGCCTGTATATGTTGTTGCAATATTAAAATGTGTAACAGCAATCGTTGGATGATTTTCAGGTAAACACATTAATTCAATTTCAAGACTTTTTAAATAACATGGTAATGCATCAGCATATTGTTCTTGTCGATAATACATTGAACCAATATTATTATAAAGTGATGCAAATGATGGATGTGTTGATGATAAATATTCTTGTTGAATTTCTAGGGCACGTTTAAAATGAACAAGTGCATCATCATAACGATGCATTTTATTATAAACATTTCCAATACTATTATTAAATGAAGCAAGTGCTTGAGGATTACGTGGTTCAATAAGACGTTGAACTTCAAGTGCTTTACTATAATATGTTAAAGCATCATCATATTTATCTTGTAAAACATAAGCATCACCTAAATTATCATAAGTCGATGCAATATCTGGATCATTTGATTCATTTAATTGTTGAAGAATTTTTAATGCACGATCAAATGATTTTGCTGCATCATTATATTTTCCTTGTTTTAAATAAACAACACCAATATTATTTGAATATGAAGCAATAGCTGATAAATTTGGATTATGTGAATGTAATTGTACATCAAGAGCTTTTTGATGATATTCAAGAGCTTTTATATATTCTTCTTGACGAAAATACATTGAACCAATATTATTATATGTTGGAGATAATTGTACAGCATCAGCTGGAACAAATCGAAGAAATGTATCTAATGATAAATGAAATAATTCAACAGCACGTTTAAAATCACCTCGTGCATGACATCCTGCACCGAGTATATGACATGATGCAGCTATTGAACCTTGAATATTAGGATCAGATTTTAATGTTTCATCATCAAATATCATTTGAACTAATTGTTCAGCACGTGCTTGTTGATTCATCATCATCATTAATTTAATTAAAGAAACAAATGGTGCAGCACCTTTAATTTCATTTCGTTTTATTTCAAGCATTCGTTGAATAGATCGTTCATTTTCACATTGAATTAATGTTAAATAAATAGAAGCTATTCCATTATCATTATTATGATTTTTTTCAATTTTAGTTAAACGTCCAATAATTCCCATATTTAATAAAACATCATTATTATCATCAACATTATATCGAAGTGAACTTGTATTAGCACATTTCATATTTGATAATATATTTAAATGAAGTACAACAGGTATATATTCATCGGATAAATTTGGAAGATTTTTAGCTATTTGTATAGCTTTTGAAAGATCTGTTGAACCACATAAAAATTGACTAAAAACAAGTAAACCATGATTTGTTAAACTTTTTTGTAAATCTTCTAAATCATTTTGATGAATTGTTTGACCTAAATAAACAGTTAAAGATGTATTTGATATTGATTCATTTTCAATTTGATGATATAAATCTTGAATAAATAAACGAAGTTTAAATAAAACATCAGCTTCTGGTATACGAAGAGCTTTATTTAACATCTAAATAAATAAAAGTAAAAATAACAATAACAAAAACAAAAACAAAAAAAAATTTTTTATTTATTTTAATTTACTTTTGATAGAAAACATTGTCTTGTAAACCACCAAATAGCTCGATTTTTATCATAATCATTTTCAAATTCATCAATAATAGTTAATTCTTGTTGATTTCCATCATATTCTTGACGAGCAAAATTTACTAATTCTTTCATAGCATATTCAGTTTCATCATTATCAAGTACTATTTCATTTATTAATTGTGAATAAATAAACATTGGATCAGGTGTACTAGAACTTGATGATATATTCATATAAGCTATTAAATCACGTGTTATTTCATTTATATCAATTGACATTTGTTTATATATTTCATTTATATCTATATAGAAGCCTTTTATTTTTGATTTTTGATTTAATATATTTTGTTTATTTTGATTATTTTCACATAAAATATAAATAGTAAATATTTGTTGAAGATTTTCAATTCTTGAAAGAATTGAATTACTAAAGACATCTGATAAAATAAATATAATTTTTTCATTTGATATACTATTGATAAAAGCAATACAATCATCAGTATCATCAAAAATTTTCAAGAAATTTACAAGACCTCGAAGATTTTTTATTATGAAATCATCAGGATGTGTAGAATTTAAATAAACAAGAATAAAATATTCAACATTTCCTTTTTGTCGAGGAGCATTACCATTTGATGCTTCACTATGTTCGACTTGTTGTTCTATATTCAATAAAAAATAATACATTTTATAGTTATAGTTCATGTCAATTGATATAATCTTCTATCAACCAATTCAGTTCGTTAAAAAGTTGAGTTCATCTAGTTTGATTGAACAGGAAATATCACCAAGTGACACTTGTCAATTGACCTCATTTTTCTCTTCTAGAGTGCATATATTAAGACAAATATACTTGAATAATAAATAGAATGAATAGACTATTATTCTAGTGTTAGCGTCATTTTAATGAATTTTTTCTCTATGAAAAGTTACTTGCAAAACAATATTAAACTTTGTTAATAGATAGAAACAATCGATGTTAGATCGCTTCTAAACTGTTATTAAGAATGGATTCACTACTTTTTTTGAAATATTGAGTTCAGAAGAAAATTCGATGAAGAATGTCTTGAGGATGATGGATAAGACTTTTTTTTCGAAAAAAATCAGATCACAAGAAAAACATATTCATTCTTAATGACAGTTTTAGAACATTCTACTAACGTTCATTTTCATCTATCTATCGACAAAGTTTCACATTGTAAGCAAGATTCTGTCTATAGCCTAAAATTTAATACAATTAAGTTGATTTTAGAGAATAGTAAATAGACGAACTACTTTAGTTATTATACAAGTTTATTAGTCTCGAGATTAACTAATAATGATATCATTATGAATTTAATCGGCTGATACCATTTGGGTATATCTTCTCGTAAGGTAAGAATTGTTTCAACTATCTTACAAAATATGAATCTATATTATATGTAAAATAAAACATTCAAAAAATGACATCCACATAATATTCAAAACTCTACTTAAATATTAACTCTATAATAGTTATGATGTTTTAAATATATCAATAAAATTGAAAATATTCTTTAGCGATATGAATTAACTAATAGAATTAGATTGTTTTGAATAGATCTAAACATTGACTTTCTTTCAAGACTTATTTTCCGTAACAAAAAAAGATGATACTCTTGTAAATTATTCCAAAAAATACAAATCTCATACACAGACAAACTCAATATTGTAAGTGTAAAAAAAATTGATTTTTCTTAGATTCTTTTGCTTATTGAAATCAATTGCATTATATTTTTACTGATATATAAAAGGATCGATATAGTTCGAATGATTTTGTGATGAGTATAAAATGTAAACTTACGTCTGATAATGCCAAGTCGCGTAAGTAATAATTGAGTTCCATCCAGAACATTAGACAAATCACGATTAGAACTAATATTCATTGAAGGCATTTGTTGAATTCTTTGTTCATTTTGATTATTTTCAACATTTGATGATGTTAATCGAAGAAATTGAACAAATCGATTTGATTGACGATTTTCATTTTGATTATTTTCATTATCTGAATCAGAATGAGAACCTAAATATAATATGAAATTTTAATCAATGTTTTGTTTTTTTTTGTCAAAAAAATAATTTGTTTGAAAACCTTTTTGCTGTTGTATATTCAATGATTCGGATTTTTGAGTTATTGAATTATCAATTGTTTCTTCATGAATATCAAGTGGTATTTCAAATGGTGAATCAAGAGTATCACTAATAGATAACATTGTTGATAATTGAGGAGGACCTAACAATGAACATATTTTATCTTTTAAATAAAAATAATCATTTTTATAAAACCATAAGTGCGTTTGGGTGGTCGTGATAATTCTTGATCAGTAGATAATAAAATCGGTAAGAAAGTTCTTGAATCTTCTTCAATTTGTTGTCGTTGTTGTTTATTTTCTGATTGAATAGATGTTAATGGTTGAGAATTAGATAATTCAAAAACATCAGCTGAAAAACCTTCACTTGCTAAATAAAAATTAAATTAAATTAAAAAGTTTTATGTTATTAATTTTTGTTATAAATAAAACCTACAAGCTTTTTCAACATCTGACTGTGAAACACAAAGTGTTGTTGGTCTTTTTTTCTAATAAAAATAATAGTTAATTAAATATATACATGAAAATAAAAACTATACCTCTGATTCTTGATGATTGATTTGATTAGTTGATTTTGTATCGGTTCTTAATTTTCGATCTAATTTTTATTTTAAATCTCAAATTTATTTTTCATAATGAAACGAAATAAACTACTTTCACTTGTTCGTCCTCGATTATTTAATGAAACTGGTGGTTTTGATTTTTGAGAATTGTTTGTAGTCTAATTTTAAAAATAAACTTTGTGTTTTTTTTTTTTTATTTCTTTTAATAAATAAAATCAGACATGTATTGATGATCGTTGTCTTGTTGTTGATGATATTTGTCTTTGTTCATTATTTGTTATGGTTGATGATCGTTTACATCGTGTAACTAAAGAAATAATTATTATTTTGTGTAAAATAATAATAATAATAATAAAATAACTAAGATTTGCTATTACTCGGAGGGGTTGGAGATGGACTTGGTGAACTCTAAATTAATTTTAAATTGAGTTAAATAATTAAAAATAAGAGCAAAAAAATAATAATACAAACTGTAGCACTTTCTAATTGACATCTAAACAATAAAATAATATTATTAAAAAAAAAACAAATTAATGAAATTATTTACTGTTGACAAGGTTTTGATCCAACAATATGTTCAATTTGAAAAAAATGATTTTCATCTCTTTTAATTAATGCATGTTCACAACAAGCTGTTATTCGATCTTCAAGTATATCATTTATATAAAAATCTAATGCTATTCTTGGATTATCTTTATAACGTTTTGATTTAAATGTTAATTGATCTTGAATTAATATATTTGAAATAAAGAAAAAAGAAAAAAAAAAAGAATAAATGATTAAAATTGTTAAAAAGAACTCCAAAAGTTAAACAACCTTTGAAAATGATTACACAA